ACGTCCATCTCCTCAGCCACACGCTGGGCCACCGACATGGCAGCGACACGACGAGGCTGTGTACAAGCGACCATCTTGGCCTCGGCCTGGGGAAGGTCGTCAAAGAGAACGAACTGGGGAATCTGGGTCGTCTTTCCGGAACCAGTCTCACCGACAAAGACAAGGATCTGCGACTCCTGGTAGAGCTTGAGGAACTCATCGCGCTGCTGGTGGACGGGCAGGTCGCGGCGCTTCTCGAGGATGCTCATGTACTTTTTGGAGAGGGGGCGGCCAGTGAAGGGGTTGTTGGGCCCGTTCTCTGCGGCATTGGCTTGCGCAGTGGTGGTAGCATGGCGCTTGAAGCCCTGTAGGCCCTGGCCGGTGGCGGCGCTGTCTTTGGTATCGTTCCAGTGCGCGAGGTACGGGTTAGAGGCGGCGTCCACGTCGCCTTTGCCGGTGGATTCAGTCTTGACGCGCTTGACGCGGGCGCTGTCGTCGTTTTCGTACTCGCGCTTGGGCATAGCAGTCATGGTTGCGGTTTGCTCGTGGTTTGCGCGTGGTGAAGATGCCTGGACGTAGAAAAAGTTATGCGGCGACCGGAGTAGGAATAGCCCGCATCGAACTAACGTACGGAGCTCCACAGGCATTACCCTCCACGCTTGGCGCGAATTACCACGGCCTGCCAGGCACCGCACCAAATACCCACCCACACACGCCGCCATGAATCTGATCAATATACATGCGCCCTCTACCCGGAGTGGCTTCTTTTCTGCCTGCTGTGACCCATCGCCGCCGCCGTGACTGATTTTGCTTGCCCCAGCAATTGCCTCTGCCCGCCGCCTCACCGACAACCCCGCTGCCGTGCTCCGCCGCCGCAGTCTTCTCCACCATCTTTTCCGTAGTCATATTTCCTCCGCCGCCGCCGCACATATTTTCGCCCTATCCGGACTCATCTTGGCAACATGGACTACTCGGAAGGAATGGACGACTCAGCGGCTATTTTCTATATTGGCCAACATGAGTCGAAGCGTAGCCTCGATGTGTCGCCGGAACTGGTCCAGCACGCCCAAGATCTCGGAGTAGGTGCTGCCGAGAATATGCAGGAACCGCGACTGACCATGGCCAGTATGATATGCTCACGAGCCCAATCACAAATGACCACTTCCATAACCGTGTCCTCGGCATCCTCAACTCGTACACTCAATCCCTCGCTGAGTCCCCAGCGCAGCCGCTGCCCTTGATACCTGCACTGGACAATTTCGACACCCCTCTCGGTCCGACCGACATCATCGGCCAGCTCGTAACCTTTGCTAGCCCATGGATTGACTTGTCCTCGCCCGATCCACTTATCGCCCATCTTTCGCGACAAGTCTTTCACCTCGAGATTGCCTTCGCCGCATTCTGCGGTGTCACAAACGTTGTCGTGCCAGGTCCGAGACTCGCCCATGGGCAGGCTGGGGTGTCTCAATATGCCCGCTCGATCAAAGAGGCTCTCGTTACGGGGTCTTACGTTCAGTTTCATATCCAACTACCCATGGACGGCAAGCAGCCAGAGCCTACCGAAGCGGACGTCGGAGACCTAGCACGCTTTGCCAGACCAGAGTTTGAGCCCAGTCCCGAAATAAAGAACATCAACTCTTGGAGCTCATGGGATGCGTGGAATACCATTAGGTCCATCTGCAACTACCACAGCAGACTGTCGATCAGTGAGTATTCTTCTTTTCCGCCAGGAAGACTGTGCCTTGTCAGACCATGCTCCCCATACTAACTCGATTGCCTTAGTGCTTGATCTCCCGCGCCGACTTCCATCACTTTCACTTCAGTCGCGCTGGTTCTCGGAGCCTGTCAGACTACTCAATCTGTCGGCGTCGTCCTTTTTGGTTAATGCCCGTCAATCCTACGTCCTTTCGAAGGCACACCAAGTCTTCATTTTCCGAGCTATGCGCCTGCAGCGCGGACCTTGGTTACTCATCTCAGACGTCGGCCCACTCCCAGGCATTGACGATCCAGATATGATCATGTCGTATTCTACAGGCCATCTCTCCCCTCACACGGTAGAGGACGCACCGAGCCCTGCTTCCTCAACGACCGCACCAACGCCGGCCGAATCAGCTCAACTGGCAAAGAAATCACCAAAAAAGAGCAGCAGCAGCAATGATCCTACACCACACCTAAGTTACATGCGGTACTTGCAACGCAACCAACCTCCCAAAAGCCAAATTGAGCGCTTTGGTGGTGGCTTCCAAGATTACCTCCAGAGCCCACTGCAGCCCCTGACAGATAACCTAGAATCCATCACTTACGAGGTGTTTGAGAAAGACCCAATCAAGTACGCATGGTATGAGCGAGCCATTGCACAGGCGCTACGCGATTGGCATGCACAGCAGAAATCGACAAGCTCGGACAATGGCGCCGTAGTCATTGCAGTCGTGGGATCTGGCCGTGGACCACTTGTAACACGTGCACTCAATGCTAGTGCGAGCTCCGGCGTCCCTGTAAAGGTATATGCGATTGAAAAGAACCCAAACGCCTACGTCCTGTTACAGCGCCGTAACATTGAGACTTGGGGCGGACGTGTCACAGTTGTCAAGACGGACATGAGAGCCTGGAAAGGCCCATCGAAAGCAGATGGCACGTTTGGACAGGTTGACATTCTCGTCAGTGAGCTGCTTGGATCTTTTGCTGACAACGAGTTGTCGCCAGAGTGTCTCGACGGTGTCCAGCATGTCTTGAACCCCACCCATGGCATCTCGATACCCTCCAGCTACACCGCGCACTTTACTCCAATTGCCACCCCAAAGCTCTGGGCAGATCTGTACAACCGCAGTACGAGCATCGACTCAAATGCTTTCGATATTCCCTGGGTCGTCATGCTGTCACAATTCGACTTTTTGTCTACAGAAGCCAAAGAGACGATTGCCTCTCAGCAGCTCAGCAACGGCACCAAGATGCAAAACTTCAATCTCGAACCACCTCTCGCACCAAATGTACGGACTGCATGGGAGTTTACCCACCCTCTCCCCCCAGCCGTTCTAGCTCAGTCTTCGCTGCGCAAGGGTGGATCGGCAGTAGGGGGTGGAGGCGGCTTCTGCGGAGGCGATGGCGCGAATGAACACAACCTGCGCTATTGCAGGATCGCCTTCCCAATCCAAGAGCCTGGTGTCTGCCATGGCTTGGGCGCCTATTTTGAAACTGTGCTGTACAGTGGTTCCGAGGGTCCTGTAGAACTAAGTACCAACCCTGTCACAATGGAGCAGAAGAGCAAAGATATGATTTCATGGTTCCCAATCTTGTTTCCTCTCAAGGTATGTCGCACTGTAGATTTGTTATTCTTTGATGTCTCTGAGTACCTGTACTGACGTATATCACAGAACCCTATGCAGCTGCCCGCCAACTCAGAGGTCGAAGTCAGCTTCTGGAGACAAACGGATGACCGTAAGGTGTGGTATGAGTGGCTTGTGGAAAGCTACATGATGATCAATGGCCAGCGTGTGCGCTTGAGTGTCTCTGACTTGCACTCTAGCAAGTCGAACGGATGCATGATGTGAGGAACTAGCTTATTCGCATTACTACCAGTACGGAGTAAACATATAGAAAACATATGGTATAGACCAAATGTGAGCTGTGTAGAACCGGGCTTTACTCGACCAAGTTCAAGTCGCTCAGGAAAAGTTTGCGATTTTGCATATTGATATTTTTGGGCTCTTTTGTTGTCCCACATGCATGCTCTAACGCCCTGCTCCCAAATCATATGTACCAAAACCATTACCATGTGCAAAATGACCTCGAAACGACTTTTTTCGTGCCCCTTTTTCTTGGCTATTTCTTCCTGGCGAGCCTCCACATGGTGTTAATATCTCGTAAGCGAAGGCAGCCCAGCCGATTTCCATGCATAACCTCCAAACCCTTACAAGTAATCCTTCTTCCTGCCCGTCCTCGTGTACTGGTTAAGATGCCACTCGACATCTCCCTCCTTATTATCCAGCGTACCCGCGCGAATCTCGAACAAGCGCATGCTCATCCTCGGCCCGACCTCCGCCAGCTCTACAGATTGGTATCCCGTCTTCACGAAAACATGGTGACGGACTTCAATTGTATCCTCGATATTCTTGAAACTATTCAAAAAAAGTTAGCAAATGCAAGATGAGAAAGGAAAAATTGAGGAGGGGGAACGTACGTAACCACACGATTTCCCACTTTAGCATTTGCTTCTCGAGGCGGGAAAAGGTGTTTTAGAATCTGAACGCAGCGTTGACCGAGTTTTGTGGTAAAGCCTTCGAAGATGAGGTGTGGGTAGCTTTCTGAGACTGTGCCGCGCGAGGAGTTGGGAATGTCTGCTCGGAGGACTACGTTGTCTATGTTGTTTTGTGAGCCTTTTGCCTGCCATTTATGAAATAGAAAGGGATGGTGGTAAAGAACAAGACTTACGAAGCGAGAAACTGGCAGTGGGTCCGTGGGGGAAATGCGAGACTGTCAAGGCAGTCGGAGTACCTCTGTGTTCGTGTAGGAGTACTATATCGCTTAGGCCTCCAGACTTTGCGCTTTCGACTAGGTTGGGCAGAATCATGTTACCGCGGTTCAGGCGGATGGATGTGGGGAGGAGTAATCGGATTTCTTTTGCGAAAGTGCCGAGTCTGCTGGATGGGTCACTGTATCACACATATGTTAGCGGGTGTCCTGCGCTCAGCGAAGAAAAGGTATCGCTCGTACCGACTGGTTGTGACGAGGATTCTTGGGTCGACGACTCCAGATAGCTGCGCATATTCATCATCCAAGCCTAGCTCTTCCTCGACTGTCCTATCTGCTCTGCTCTCGTCGTACTTGTAGTCTTCTCTTAGGGCTGTGTCGTTGGCAACGTCTTTTGACAGCGGCTTTCCGCTTGCGAGAGATTCTTTGAGTGCGGCTCTCTTGGATGCAAGTTCTGCATCGCGCAGAGTTAATGCGCGGCGGTAGAGGTAGTCGCGCCTTTCACGCGCTTGTTTCCGGATCATCGTGCTGGTAGTTCGTTGATAAGGCCGTCTGATTGGATGAAGTTCAGTGTGCGATTCTTGGTGCTGACGTTCTTATTGCTTGTGGATATTGGGTGGCGCGTGGGGTATCGAGGTGTGGTGTCGTATGCAAGCATCGAGGAAGTTCGCAAGGCGCAATGGAAATTTTGGGTCCTTATCTTATCGCCCCGGCCGCCAATTGGAGCGCCTCGGACCTCCGACTTCACCATTTCACTCACACCCACCCTCGTGAACCTTAATCACCAGCACCACATCCTTACCATCATGTAATCTCAAATTACCAAGATTTAGTCGCCGCCACATATTTCATGTGGTATCCATCAACCGGAAACGCGTTATTCGAGCTTACTAGTGCGATATTGCGTACCGGAATTCAAAGTACCTGGCACAATTGTCAAACGAAAACTCGTACTCATCACATACACGAAATTGGTATATTATCTTGTTTCTCGCACCAAGTGTACAAACATTCGAATCATATCGCTGCCAAATTCCCCATTCGTCGTCGCGCCAGCCCTTCTGCATAGGAGCAGAGTGCCCGAAGAGCAAGAAAGCACTCGTAGTGGAAACATTGAGGAGCCCATACGTATCACTTGTGAGGATCACCAGATTGAAATCATTAGTTATTAAACTATCAAGATTAGCACAATTCATTTTGTATATGTTATCAAGGCTAAAGCATACCCCGAGAATGCCACACGGATAGCTTGCTAATATGCCCGGCTTGTGTCTGTCGTTTTGCCGTTGCGGCCGGCCGGTACCAGTCGGTACGCTCGGGGTACCAATGCGTGGATTCTCAATGACAATGTCCCGACGTTTGGATGTAGTGACCCAGCATTTGTAGTATGCTGCATGTTCGCTGCCAAACCAGCCATCGCTGAAGCCCTCGTACTGGCCAATCAAAGGACCGTGACCGCTCATCGATTGCTCGTAGAAACTGCAGGTATAGCCTTTCTCGATGTTCCAACAAATAGGCCGTACAAACCAGTCTTTCTGTCGATCACCAGTGATCATCTTAATTTCGTCGGAGAGTTCAAGTCTGTAAAAGTTGCTGTTTCCACCACGGACGTAGCCGACTCCTCTGTCTAAGTGATTAGTCTTGCTCCTTGATAGCGCCACTACAGGCATTAAGAATGTGGTACTTACTTGAAGTAGTAAGAAGCCAAAACATTTGCTGCCATACAGGCACCTAGAAATAATGCGGAAAAACGCATCCTAGCTCAGGAGACTGAGAGAATTCGATTTGATGTTGGATGACGCTAGGAAGGGTTTTGAAGCTGGGAAGGAGTCAGGCGAGGAATTTGTAGATGATTGTACCATTACTTGTGACCACCCACCGCTGTGTTTCTAAGGTACAGTCATGATATAAGGAATCGCTCTCACCATCCTTTTAGTTTCAGTTTAGAATGATAGAAGTGCAGTCTAGCCATGCGTTTTGCAGGCAATGGCAATTAGCAAGGTGCAAGTCACTGATGCGGTACTATTCCATGGAAGCGAAAATGGGGTGACGGTAACGATGACAACGCGTACCAGAAATGTGACTTAGTGTGAAAAACACTGAAAGAGATGACGTTTCAATGTCATAAAATCATTAGCATTGCTTCCTCTGTGACCCAAGTGGACGATGCGCATTCGAACTATCGCAAATACCTCCTTGGTTCTTCTCCACCATTACATGCCTCTTCCTCCCACACAATCGAGGCCAAAAATTCGCCAGCAAGATATAACCCTGACGGAATACCCTCTTCTTCTTGTTCACAATATGTCAGCCCCGAACCTTCATCTTTTCCCATCACTTCTAGGTCATTCAACCACCTCGGTTTTAGCTGCATTTGGTCACCCATAGCATAACCCATCACAATACGAAGATGCAGCTTCTCCATCTCCTTGTCTTCTTCTCCGCCGCTACCATGTACCAGGTCCTCGCCTTCGACTCAGCGAAAGCACCCTGGGTTCATCCTCACTGGCTCCCAAATCAAAGTCGCGCATACCCTCGCTTTGTTCCCGAAGGCTGCCCTGCAGACATTGCAGGCCGTATCAAGTGTCATATTGGTAGTCACTAAAACTGTTTTTTAGATCTATGGATTCTGAAGGTAAGTTGTACTTACGATTTGCTTCATCTGAAGGTTTTGGTCTACGAGATCGGTGGGGAACTGACTTGAAATTTAGGGTTCCCTCAGCCCCAGTACTTGCAGCAACGGCTGTGATCCAAAAGGTCGGATGTCTTCAATGTGTGGATTGGCGACTCCTAACCAGCGGATATGGAAGAAATTAATTGGTTACTGTAGCTGTTGCAGTTAGGGATAGAGGGGTAATGCATGCACATGAGATTGAAAGCCAGGACCTTGTATTTAAATGTACAATAAAAGACGCATCTAAGTTTTACCTATGCTATCAATTGAAACATTTAAGCAGTGCGAGTAAAGCGTGCATATGAAGACACATAGCGTAACAGAATTTCGTGTTAGAGTGCACAGTTCTCAACAAACCAACCGTGAACCAACGAACTCCACGGGCCAAAAGATATCGCTGCTAACAACTCACCAACGATATCCAGCAAAGCAAGCGCTAACTGAAAGCCATCACCACATCCAGAACCTTCTACGCCAGTAGCCCTACAAGGCCAACGTCTCACAGTTGTACCACTTGGGCTTCGGCTCGCCGAAATGGGGTTCCTTGCCAACTTTCCCAATAGGCCCTTCATAAAATGGCGCATTCTGTCCAGTTACACAATCCTGTTCGCTGCTAGCAATGTTTAGCCTATGGGTTTCCCATTGCAAGGAGATGCTTACCCGTGAAATGTGCATCGGCACCCGCCAAATATGCTGTAAGCGAACGCAGTTTGGTATCCGGGGATAGATTGGTTGTAATATATTGGCGTGCAAGATGTGTATGCTGAGATGCCGGCGTAGGCACTGCTGTTTTGGGCTGTAAGGACGTAGCCGCACATTTGTGGGTCATCATTGTGAGCTATGGAGGATGCAGGCGCTGATAGGGTGCTTGGTAGGGTAGAAAGTAGACCGATTAGAATATTTGTGAACTTCATTTCGAATAGCTTTGTGAGGCGAAGAGTGATTTCTCAAGGTTCTTGTGTGCCTGGTAACTGGAAAATTGTGAAGGAAAAAGACTCTTCGGAGATTTATGCAGGATTTGTCGGTGGTGCTTAGCAATTGAAACCGTGTTTGTATGTATGATACTTGGACTAGAAAGCATGAGAAGCAACGCGGACTTTAAGTACCCTGGCCACATGCAAATCATCATCATCTCGTGCTGTGACATAGTCACCAGTTGTTACCAAGCTGTCAAACTGCAAGTTCCTGTCATCAGCGTGGCTTTGATATAGTATTTTCTTCCGGATAGGGCCGTTGTATGCCACACAAGTTTAATGTTTTTGATGTCACCTTTGCCCTTCTGACGAGTGCACCTACCGCGGCGTCCTATCAAGCACAGCAGCTGCGGTCAGAAGCCATGTACGCAAATATGTCGGTCAAGCCGAGTTGACGTGTTCCGAGGTAAGTTCGGCTTGACCGCTGAACCGCGCCTCCCCAGTACCACCATGGCCTGAACATGAGACGTTAGTCACAGCGACATGGCGTGAACCCTATGTCCATGTTGTAGTTTCGGTATCCTTGGCGCGGCTTGCTACTTCGACTCTTGAGGGATGCAAACAACTATTGGCTGGGGATAGCGGTGAAAACTTGGAGGTGCTACTGTAACAGTGGGACAAGGACGCTGAGAGTACGTAACGTGCAAAGAAGTGGTACTGGATACCGAGAAGAGGGTCATACGAATATACTTGGGAGATCCAGAAACTTCTGCATTTGGGAACAGATAATGGTGTGATAATACAAGTAATGCAGTGTTCGAGCGATACGGCCATGGGTATTGGGAATAGGTCAAGTGTGTGTAAGCTGGAGCATTCTAGGAAAGCCAACAAAAAACGTGATAGTGCTCCAAGGTAATAATAGAACATAGCTATATGTTCCTGCATACTGATTGATCATTGTATGTCCGCGGAATTGCTGGAAAATAAAGCTTCATCAAAAATCTGTGTCAGGGACAACCATGGACGTTTGCATGATGACATTAGAAAGTGACCAGACACCGACTGAGTCATCTCAGCTGAGATATTTGAAGACTTTCGGCCAAAGAAAGGGTAATACATATAGCTCAAGACCAACAATTTGGAGAATCAGATGAGGTTGTGCAAGGGCAGTGCAAACAAGGAACACGCGAACTGTGCTTGATGAACTAAGAACAGTCTAGCGTCCACGTGACACCGCGCAAGTACGTAGACGTAACGCGTCTGCATTCGCATGACAGCATTGTTCTTTGGGAAAGACGAATATCCTCAACATCTCACATTATGAGCCGAGCGAGTATCGAGCAGGCCCTCACGGGCTTAGTCCCTACATTGAACGGCCCTCTGCCCCCTGAGTTGATTGATTTGGCGTTGTCGCTTCTTACACGCTCTCGAACAGTCGCGACGTCTATGAAGTCGGATGAAGAAATCGCACGACCATACGCATGTGCGCAATTGGCTTGCGAAAGGTATTCTGGCCTCCATTGTTACATAGAGCCCAATACTGACAGCTACAGGCTTAAGAAGCGTCTCAACCTTCCTTCAATCACATCACGACCGCCCTGCCCCCCTCGCATATATAAGAAGCTATATAACTACCTAAGTAGTGCTCTTCCAGACTCTTTTGCCGCCGCAGAGCCGCAAACACCGCGTAAATCGTCTGCTCCAGCCCCCACATCCACACGTAACACGCCAAAGACGCCCTTGAGCGCTAGAAAGACACCACACAGCACAAAGCGAGGCCGTGAAAGCGATGCTGAGCCCCCTGAGTGGGTCATGCCCGCTATCCGGGCTCTCGCAAAGGTGTTCGAATATCCGGCAATGATACCTCATGTGTACACCGGTGTAGAGTCCATTTACCCTCTCCTAGCCCGCATGGCTGCCGCAGCCACTGAGACGCCCAGCAAGCGACCACGACGACCAACATCTACTACACAGTCTTTTGCTGATGTCAGTGATACGCGACTTTGTAGCCTTTTAGTAGTTGTATTCCTGCTTGTTTTCTCGAGAATGAAGGATGTCGATGTCTCGCCAGATACATACAGCGAATGGCTAGCCAAGGCAACGGATGCCGTCTTGAAAACCCCATCTGCACAGAACATCACACAAGATGAGCTGGTACCTGCAATAGAGCAGACAATGGCCATGGCCAAGGAGGAAGGCTGGCTACAGATGCAGTGGTTCGATAGTGTAAAGCCTCTAGACAATGAAGACGAGATGGAAGGTGTTGAAATGACCGGCAATACAACTGTCAAAGCAAAGGGCCTAGGCCTAAGATCTGGAAGCGATTATATTGGCCTAGGCACTATGATGCAAGATGCAACTGACTACCTCGGCGAACGACAGCAGGACGATTACGCAAAGTGGAAGACCAGAATTATGGCGCGCGTGCAGGAGATTGAAGCAGCATAGATATATTAATTACGCTATACCACCGAGGAATGGCGGTCGGTAATGCGATGAGTAGCAGTTCCGCTGGAGTCCGAAGGTGTTTACTATATCCCGAAATCACACATCCATCACACCCTGGAATCTCACGTGTTTACCTCATCCTAGAGATTCGCCGTGACCTTGTGCTCCCGGATAACGTGCTTCCCGTCATCCCTCACTTGGAGGACATGGCTTTCAACCTGGCCCGTCTCTCCGTTCCCATCGCTCTGATCACTGCCTTGTTCATTCTCGAAATGCACATCATCGATGGTGAAGAATAAGTGCATCTTACCCATACCTCTTGTGCAACGGTCTTGATCGTTTCCGTCACAAACAACTATGACGTGCGTGATATATTTCAGGCCGAGCCAAGGTTTGTGGGTGATGAGAAAGCTGGCAATAGTTTTGCCAATAGGAGAGCCTAGAGTAACTCAGTAAGCATCGCTTCGGGGCTATACTGGAGATCGGGACTCAAGTAGGAAATGCAATACATACCGATCAATGCCATGAACTCTTCGCTACCTTTCTCAAATATGACGCCCGGCCAAATCTCCAAAGCAAATTTGCGCCTGTTTCGCAGCGCGCGAGCCACGAGGAGAACAGTGTGGTCTTCTATGACATCTTGGACGCCATAGACACGAAAGTTTCTGACATTGGGGTTATGCATTTTCCAGAATCCCCAGTAGATGTCGGTAACATGTTGTAGTTCAGGGAGTTCCTGAGGCCGCGCTTCCCGACCCCAACTAAACGGGTGTCGCACGGCAGCACTTGGGCTCATTGTTGTTCTTGCGATGATTGCGCCATCCCTTATATTAACAGCAAATTCATAGGTTGCGCCTGTTTGTAACTATCATGTGTTAGCTAGTGTTCTGAACGACCATTTGTGACTGCCCCATAACAGCGGTTCTTTGCATCTTTTAGCATAACCACCGCAGACATAAATATACGTACCGCCAAAACTGTTCGCGGGGTCCTGTACAGCTGCTCCCTGATAGGCAACGGTTGTTGACGCGGATTGTCAGGCAGAGCCCTGCGGCGGTTCCAATGTAGAATGGAGAAGCAGACATTCTCTCCATTGGCAGGTTGAAATCCGTCATCGTACTTCGGCTCATAATTGAGGCCAAGCCCTTCAAAAGCATATTGTAATCCTACCGACCTGAAGTCGCATTCCCTACCTTGGGCCGTTGGGGTGTTAAACCAGCCCCACAACCCCAAGATGCCTATAACATCAAAAGAATCAGTTTCTCAAGTTCATTCTTGCGTGATGGAAAGGAAAATGAGCTCACGATTTATGTCGTGCATCGCCCATGCGCTAAAAGCTGAAGGCGGCTCTCGGTCATCTTCCATGAGCATTCCAGCCGTTGTGTCTGATGCCATCATGAGACAAAACATGTAACTACCTATGGTGACACGTTCCTCCCATAGCTGGTTGCTGGCGAATACTTCGGGGTCATAGTCCTCGCCCAAAGCAGGATTGAAAGGTCCAGGTCTAGCAGCAGACGATTTGACAGGCAGCCCATCCTGAATAACTGAGCTGCCGAGAAGTGTGCCTTCGAGGCTGGCGTTGGAGACGGATACTACCTGCTCATTGTTGATGGACTGACCAAAGGCAGTCACCATGAACAAGATAGTGCAGATGAGAATCATTCGAAGTTTCATGTTTGCGGTTGACGAGTGGGAATTCGTCTGCAATCGTCAAGCTGGGTGAGAAAGCGTGGCTGCGACTGCTTGTGTGGGTCAAAGGAGTTTGAGCAGGCGCGACCGAGTGTTTATATCCCGACGTGAGAATCTTTCACTGTTGACAATCTGACTAATTCTAACCTTCACTTTCACTCACACCTTGTAAAATCCCTCAGTCCTCCTTTCACCCTCCTTCAGCACGGTCTCCAACACACCCGCCCCGCACCTGGGACTCAGTTTCACTGAAAAGTCGCGGGGTATTGCCACCAACGCGCTTTTGATCGCGTTGTAGTCGACATAATCCGTATTCGGCGGATGCGTTGCACTAGCTTCGATCCTGTACAGACTGAGCAAACGGAAGAGTGCCGCGTAAATGAGCTTGCTAGCGATGAGGGCTCCAGGGCAAGAACGAGAGCCCGCCCCAAACGACAGATGTGCTGGATTGGAAACAGGATTTGCCGTATAAAGGGATGCCGAGTCGATGGGTGGTGTAAGCCATCGCTCAGGATTGAAGGTTGCAGCGTCAGGGCCCCAGTAATCAGTGTCTATCACAGTTAGATCTTACGGAACCCAAGTTCAGATGGTTGGCTACTCACCATGATTCCCAGCCTGGGCATTAATCAACACCATTGTACCTTTCGGTATCACTGCCTCGCCCCAGCGCATATCACTCATAGTTTTCCGCGGCAGACTCATATTGCTGACCGTGTAGTACCTCCCCGCCTCCTTCACTATCGCACTCAAATACGGAATACTCTCCTCCCCAAAGTCACTCGCCCACGCCTTTTTCAAGTCTTCGTCTTGCGGATACATCTTCCGGATTTCCTGGTACGCGCGGTCTTGGAATACCTGGCCCTCGCTTGTACACAAGGATCCAATGCAAGATACCAGTGTACCCGGTATGGTTTCGAACCCACCAGATACAAGAGACAGACATATAGAGCTGACTTCGACGCCTGTGAGTCGCGTTTCCTCGTCTTTCAGGATAGCGGCGCTGATGCACGGCTTTTCAGTTCCCTGCTTAATCATGTCTCGCACTTTATCCAGTAGCAAGTTGAGATACTTGTCGCGTCTCTCCCTCAGCTCTTTCGAACGCTTGTTCTTCTCGTTGTTCGGCAAATAGCGCAGAGCAGGGACGTAGTCTTGATAGTTCTCTGATGCGGATCGCAGCAGCGAAATTGCAGAGCCGACTTCGAGTATCTCGCGGAGCAAATCGTCGTAGACGGCGTCCATACGGATGCCATAGCAGAGCGTGAGTGTCGTGTTTAGTGCGTAGCGCTGGATATACGGTCTGATACTGACTTCCACCTCTCCGCTCTTACTATCTCTCTGCAGATCTCGTGCGATACAGTAGGACTCGAGGTCAAACATGTTGGCGTAATTCTTCATCATGCTTTTGCTAAGCGTTGTCGACGCTGCTTTCCGTTTGTTGCGACAACTTTCATCCCACGGGGAACTGCCAATCGTGAAGCCCTGGGTCGAGGAGATGAGACCGTGGAAAGTATACAGCTTCGGCCGATCGATCAGCCCCTGGGGGTTTGACATGAGGATCTTCTTGCAGTCTTCGAAGGAATTAACCACCACGGCGCGCATGTTTCCGAGCCGGATCTGGAATACTGAGAAGCCGTATTGGCGCCACCATTTCTCGCACACAGTTGCATGATCATCCCCCAGTTGAGTCAAGTGACCTGTGATGGGGAGAGCGCCCGGAATCTCAGGTATGCCTTGGATATAGGAGATATCGGTACGAGTGAGTAGCTAATGGTATGAGCTATAACTGCCTACACATGCTCTGGAGATACTTACTTTGTACACAACGAACAATGCGACCGTAACAACAGCGATTGAGACTACATGGTCTGAAGCAATGGTCCTCACACGCGGTAGTAGATCAGGCAATTGATTCATCTTGCAATCCTATTGTACAGATTTTTCCAACGAAGTAGCGGAAGGAGAGCAACCCCAGAAGCATCACAAGTAATTTATTAGCAGCCGAAATAGCTTCCAGGCACACTACAGTCACTCCCTTGACTCGACGCAATTATGCATATCAGTCGTGAGGGGTTGATGTCGGAACCGTTCCGAAGATAAGCCCGCTGCTTATCAGTGTCTGCTCCCCACTTCTGCCTTTAGATGTGCTAGAGACCAATCATGCCGTAGCTATTCGAATAGAATCTCGGGCCTGATATCCGTATCGTCCCAAGACCGAAGCTCTTGCACGGTGAAGATCAGGCGACTATGGCGTCTGTATGGAGCAAAGTTGGAGAAACAATACCATGCATAGCCTGTTCATCGTGTTTGAAAACAAATGAGAACAAAGCATGAATCATAACTCATCTCAATCTAAAGTCTACCTCATAACACGAATCAAATCTCCCGTTCCGATATCCTTACTGATTCCACTTCAAACTCTGTAGAATCAACTCCTCCCCATCACTGCCCCAGCAAAATCTTCAACGTCTCAACCCCCACACTCAAAACCTCCTGACTCCGACTCTCCTTCAGCACAACCTTGAGCGCCTCAACAACGCCCTTACCCTTGCACTTCTCCTTCCCCTGCTCAACATCCACCACACTCCTCAGACAAACAACACCGCGATACCTAATCCCCTCGTCTTCATCCTGGCACAAGCCCACCAACCACTCCACACTCTTCTCCTGCTTCAAGAACTCTTCGACGGCAAGATCGACAGAGAGTAGCATAGCCAGTGCGCCGCCAGCCGCAGACCGTGTGGCTGGATCTTCGACGTCCGTCATGGCGAGTAAGAGATGCAAGCGGTGTTTAGCGCGGGGCGAGGCATCTGCGAAGTTGCTGATGCAAACGGGGGAGGCCATGAGATTGCACACGAGTTCCGTGCTTGCGCGGCGCACGAGGGTGTTCGGGCTGAGAAGCAGGTCGTCGACGACGGTGTCGAAGGACTGGCGGATGATGTGGTCTTGAGTGTTTCGGTCGAGGGAAGCGAGGTTGGTGAGGGCGAGGAGGGCTTCGAAGGCGTGGAGTTGCCAGGTTGTGGATTCTGTGCGGGTGAGTTGGCTGATGAGGGGGCGGATGGCGGAGGTGCTGGGGAGGGCGGCGTTGAAGACGTGGGAGGGGTTTATGCTGATGAGCAGGCGGGACAGGGCTTGTGCTGTTGTGGGGAGGGCAGCGGGCGGGAAGGGTGTGGTGCCGGTTGTGGAAGACTCGTTTGTGGCAGTGATGTGCTCCCAGATTTGGATGAGGAGCTTGACGGCGCCTTGCTGGGCCATTGGGCCTCGGTTCTTAGTGTCTTTGCATAGACTGAGGAGAATGAGGCTGCTTTGTGTGAGGACGGAGGCGGACCCGTTTTTGCAGACCTGTACTAGAAGTGGTACAACGCCTGCGTCAAGGACGCGCTTGCAGCGTATGGCTACATCTTCATCGTTTAGAAGAACATCAGGAGCAACTGGCTTCTGTACATTTGCGTAGGCCTTGAGCTGTGCCATGCGCTTTTCTTCTTCAGACTGTAAAGGCTGGTATTGTGTGATATTGTTGAAGATCGTAAGGCCGCCGAAAATGATATTCTTTGGTGACGAAGGGTCACTCATGGCCTCGATAAGGCGTTTGAGAAACTTTGGAGACTTGGATAAATCTTCCCTGACCTTGGGCTGAAGCGAAGCGTATGCGAGGCCCTCGACCGAGTCTTGCTTGGACGCCGTGTCGCCTCCTATGACCATTGACTTGAAGCTTGCGATCAAGTCCTCTTGATCCACTTTCTCGGCTCTGACGATTCGCGGACCTTCCTCGGATGGCTGTTCCTCGCCCAGTTTCACAAGAATGAGTGCAGCCAGGTTAGCCCGCCTCTTGTTCGGGCACTCGGCAACCATGTCTTCTAGCCACTCCCTGCAGTGCTTGTTGATTGCCTCTCGGCAGTTCTTATCTACGCATGCAGCACTGATCAGTTCGAGGGTCGCTTGCTCCAGGTTATGCGACTTCTTGCTCTGTACTCTCGATGCAAGTGTGCTGACAAAGCCATCTGTGAGGAAAAGGGCCGCAGCGGCTGTGACAGCGACCGGGAAGATGGCTGCAGCCGCAGAGAAAGCAATGACTAGGTCATGTGCCTCCCCCTTCTTTATCCTGGCGGTGACGAATCTTGAGATGAGTTCTCCAGCAGTGTCCGGAGCAAGCTCAAACAGCTTGATACTCGCAAGTGTAGCCTGACTGCGTAGTGTGGCTGGCAGCCGGATATCGAGCGATGCCAATATAACATCGAAGCTGTCTGCGTCAATGATTCCCTTGAGATGCTCCGCGTAATGAGCGAGCAGTTGTGCGATGCCCTTCATGGCGCGTTCCGGGTGCTCAAGGGCCTCCTCCATCATCATTGCCAAACTGAGCATGAAGATATCTCTATGACCCGTCTTGAACGACTCGTCATCGGGCCAGACGGCTCGGTTCAGCAAGACTTTTAGCAAGCCATCGATTGAGTCGTTGCCCCGTTCGAACATCTCATAGTACATCCGCGTTGGCTTTTCCCGAACCATATTAACAAGCCACTTCTGAGCCCCAACGTTCTGTAAAAGTTCACCCGAGACTTGATCGAGAGTGTCGTCTTCACCCTTATAGTCGAAGAGAATGTCCATTGCCTGTGCCGCCTCTTCCTCCTTCAAACCATGCGATCTCATGGCCTTCAGTGCTCTTTCTCCATCACGTGCATCCTTGCTCTTTACCCATTCCCTGCAAATCCCCAAGAACTCGCTCTTGCCTTCTTCCTCCTTCAACGCAACCCATGCTTCTTTGATCCGGTTGTCTTCAGGTGCAATAGTGCCAGCTTCACGTAGGTATCGAGCTGCCACAGCCAACTCGCCAGCTTTGATGCTCTCGTGAGCCTTTTCCGCCAGCTGCACGATCCTCTCCTTGTCAGATGGGCTGGCCATTGTCGGATGTGTGGTAGATGATGATCATCTCAATAGGGCGAACATTTGAGTTTATGATTGCGTGTCACGGGTTCTAGGGCGATTCGATG